GTGGATACACTCCTAACTTACTCCACACGTACAGCGCGGCCTTGTGAAAAAAGGAATACCAAACTAACTATGCCTATAACGAAATGTAATGCCATAACTATACCCCAATACTATCACAGACACACTGCAATCCCTCCACCCTACCCACCAAACCAAATGAAGTGTGTCACTTCATTCAGAAATCAATGCACACTGCCCGCAGCACACTTTCATACTCCCACACCCAAATCCACCCCACATTTAGCAGAATAATACTAGCGGTGTATATCCAGTTCAACAGCAAAAGTGTGCCCCCCGGCAGTGTACAATGTAACAGATGCACACGGTCATCATATGAAAACAAGCATTTACGAAACCCCTACTATAAGACACTGCAAAACACCAAATACCGAAACAAATTAAACAAACATTCCTCCACTGCAAAATAGAACTCCCATCACAACAGCATTACACACCTGCATGTCCACACAAAGATTACGCAGTGATTTCTTTTCTTTGAAAATATATGTCATTGATTACATAGCAAACTGCCGCCAGGTGCACACACTTCCATGCCCCAAGATGATTGGTAACCAAACAAACGATATTAAACTAAACTTACTTCAAATGAAACGAACATTACACCACTGCAAAAAAACACTACCATAAAGACACAAATAAACTATAACGGACGCATCCATTCCAAAAAACACAACATCCAAAAACAACACCTCCAAAAACTGTTGAACCAGAACATGGATCAACACAGAACAATGTGTCTGACGGGAAAAAATCAAAATCAAAATACAAACACCAACTAGAATCCATGCAAAATCCAAACTACCAAACACCCAAACAACAATGCATACTTAAAAACCATGTCCACTGCCAACTACACGCCAACAAATAAAATCATGTGATGACTACGTGTCTTTCGCTTGCTCTTTTCGCTCATTACTGTACACAATGAGCTCCGTAGTCATCTTCACACGGTACGCCTCCATATCGCGGGATTGCACCTCAGAAATGTGTCGGTCCATCATTAAGTACTCGGCAAACTTCAACATGAACATCCCACAGTTGCACCTGTATTTTTTTAACCACAATCGTTAACGCTAATAATCACCCGACTATTGTCAACTTCTTGAAATTTAACAGAAGTCGGTCAACAGAATCCGTAACATTACCACATACCCGTCATCTTGTTGGGGACATCCGTCAATGATATTGATAGAGAACTTCTTATTCCCCATCGGCCCATCAGCGTGCTCGTCATACACACCCAATAAATCAAGTAGGACCGGCAGCAATTCTGTGACACACTGCCCATATCCATTCAATGACCGGCAAACTTTTCCCCTTTTCCCTTTCGAATCATACACCCTTATTGTCCTTCCTTCAACTTCAAGGACCAGCAATACCCAGTGATTACCTGTATTTAAGGGCATGTACACAAAATCACACTCAGCCCATGGCCTAGAATATTCTCTTGCCAATCCCTTAACCTCACTTGTTAGATTCAGATTATCCAAGACCGCCTCCTTCCTGGCCTTCCCAACATTCACCATTTCTTGATGCGTATACAACCCTTGTAAGAAATAAGGGCTTGTTGTCGTGTACATTTGCAAAAGTTCATACTGCCTGCCCTTCACTTCCAGGAAATACATTGCAATTTCAACATGTTGTACAACAATAAATATCACACAGAAAATCGAAACTCAAAAACCATAAAACCAAAAAACAAAAACACCACAAATTTGAATTAGAGACTTTGCACATGGGTCACACTCATAAATAAATTACCATACCGTGCTGCTTAACCATTCAGTGTTTGTAAACAGCTCATATAGCCATGTCTTCCTATCCACCGTAAACCCATCTAGCACAATGGGATCTTTGGACATGTTATCCACCTTGCTCGTATACCTACATGTCCTGTTCCCCCGTCCACGCCTCTTTAAAAAGCCTTCATTCAAAAATGTTCTGACCTTCTCTATCTCATCCAAGTCAGGCATCTCCTTCGGGTCTTTTGAAAATGGGCCATAGATCACACCTGCCCTATCACAGTCATGACGTTGCCTAGCACGCTCCAATCGTTCAAGCTTCCGCCTCTTCTTGTCTTGCTCGGCCTCCGAGGGAGTATACCTTTCAGGACTTTTATGAACCCTTTTGGGGCGATCAATCTCAACGCATGCACTGTTGGAATTTGAGGGTGCAGAAAACGCCTAGCAGAAAAATTCCACAAACGTCACAGAAAATAGTCATCATTATGTAGTACACAAACCCATTGCCAGAACCTTACCATCCCTAGTTTTTAAACTATATGTTAATATAATGATTCATATTGTTTCCATTATATTTTTTAACTATATTTTAAAAATACTAACCACCACGGGGTCTTCACCACCCTTCACTTCCTGCTCCCCACTGCCCAACCGGCTGCCTATGAAGATTCGGTCGAAATCATCATCATCCATGCTCACTTTCCGTGCTCCTTCATTGACATGATGTCCCAGTTTGACTTTGGTTGACCCACTTGAACCCTGCGTAATTACAATGTTAAATATAGGTATTCGTAACTGGAAAAACTCAAATTAGAAGACCCACATATGTAAACCCACAAAACAGATTACAGTCATGACCAACCCCAAATGAAGCATCAGCGGCTACCGGTACTTGCACAGCTGTTTGCATGGAAACTTCGCCAACTTTAATGGAAGGCTCACCAGCATCTACGGTTTCCTTGCACATTGCACCCCCCCCCCCCCC